ACTCTTCACTTTCTGATTCTTTGTCTTCTGACTCTTCACTTTCTGATTCTTTATTACTTGATTCCTCTTCACCATTCAATTCTTCATCTAGTTCTAACATATCTTGACTGTTATTGTCATTAGGATTATAATGACTTGTCGCGCCATCAACTAACAACAAAATATGCCGGTTTTCTAAGCGAAACTTATTATCAAGAGTTGTGATCCATTCACAGAAGATATCGGTTCGCATCCAAGCCTTTAAATTTGAACGATATGTTACAGGTAATGCATCGTAATTTAAGCGGACTAAAGCATGGGGTTCAATAGATGATCCGATTACTATTGGTTTTAACTTTTCAGTTTCTGTCGCATTTGCAGCCAGCATAACTGTAATACGTGTGCGATCCTAAAAACAATACGATTAATAACGGTGGGCTCAATACATGCCACCCAAATCTCAAACCACTGTTGGACCTTCCAAAACCGTCCCTATAACCTGTCAAATCTGATAAAAAGTTAATCACCCAAGTTTGTTTCTGTTATATCAATCTAATAATTTTAATGTTCTCAAACCTAATAACCTTTCAATACTGATACAAAATCTGTCTAATATGCATGTTGGTTTTGGAAGGTCTGACAGCATTATAATTTGGGTTTATTCACCAAATTCTGGCCAAACCAATAACTCAAAAGCTTTATTAACGATATTTATTTAAATAAATAATGCATAAAATATTAAGATGATTTTAATTTTTTATAACTAACAACTATTATGTTCAAGTTTGGGATTTGTGTAGGTTTTGTGGCAAGTATAAAACAAATTAAAAAAACCTTTTTCCATCCTGATTGTGGTTGCGATGCGAGTGTTTGATGCGGTGCCATTCGAAAAAATAAACCTGTTTCATCGGCATTGAAAACATTATTTAAAGGATATTTTTTAATTATTTCACGTAACTTGGCTCTTTGTCCCGGAAGTAATTCTAATGGCGTACTATTTGCTTCGCCATGTAATCGATAGTTTCGCAAATTATTTCTCTTCTTGAATTTATGAACCCACCCATTAGAAAACTTTAATACACCGTCTGGTAAGCCTAATGCCCAGGCAAAAAACTCTGCTTTTTCTTTAATAATTGCTTCCATCAAAAACATTTGATTATCTACAACCTGCTCAATCCATAACTGCATGGCTTTATCTAATAAAAGAGATTTCACTTTTTTATAACGAAAAACAGCC